TTCATTAGACCTTAGTACAAGCCTTTTATAGATCCCAATTTTTCTGAAAATGTATATGATGTACTAGATAAAAACCCTGCAGCACCTCAAATGAACACAGCACAGCCTCAGCACACAAAAGTTCCCACGTTTTTTGTTTTCGTTTATTTTGCTATTCTACACGTGATCATCACTGAGGCATCAATTTGAATATGTCATGTCATCTGGATTAATTCAAGCATACATATTAAAATGATGATAGTTAAAGGAACTCACTTTCCAACGGAATTAATGTTGCTTGCATCAACGAGCTTAGCATCGCGCACGCAATCGAATCATCAAAGAGTGAGTGAATATCAGAAAATTCCCATACATCGAATGCTGCTGCTGTGCCGAACGGCAAGAACGGCCGAGCGGGCCATGCAAAGGTGGTTGCGCACTTCAATTGCACTATCGTTATAGCTTGTTGTTACTTTGTTGTTTATTTACCACCTACAATTTGATGCCACCGACTGATGAACTTTTGATAACTGCCGAAGCAACCCTTGATTGCATTTCTATTCTATTATTGTTTTATACCATTTATTACATACCGACATGGTATCTCTGTGGGGTGGCAAGTGGCTTGGGAAGAGTCCGACACAAATAGGAATGAATATGCGGTGGGTGCACGGAGTGAACGAGCGCACACTTTTTGAAGGCTTATTCTAATTAGACCTTTTTGTGTGTTGTCATGTCAAGCGTTTTATTGTTCAGTTTCTTATTACTTAATTTGTAGCGGTAAAAAGTTTCCCATAGCATTTAATTGCCTGCGCGGTGTGCTGTGCGTTGGGTGTTTGTTGGCCGTTGAGTGATGGATTCACAATAGGAAACGGTGTTTTGACACTTCAAATTGATATCTTGAAATTACAATTGCAGCAGTGCGTATGTGTGAATATTTATTTCATTGGTGAATCGAAAACTTCGTTAATTGTAATGATATAATAATTCTAAATCAATATTGCAAGGTCATAATGCAGAGGTTAGAAAATGAAAAAGGGTTTATTATATATTCAATAATCTTCTTTTTTGATGTCCCCTTTGTTTTATCACTATAATATATAATTATAAGAATTTCACATTAATTTTGATTTTTTCAGGCGTATAGTTTTTCATAAAGAACTACATTTTGAGAAATCGCCAATTTGTCAAAATAAAAATTTGGACTAGTACTCTATAATAAAAAAAAAAATATTTTTGATTTTTAAACTTCTGATAACTTTGAACCGAAAAAAATTGTTCCGAGCTTCCAAGTTCTTCCTAGAAATCAGCTACGGGAAACGAAAATTTTTAAAAATGAAAAGCCGTTTGTGATTGTAGAAAAAACAAATATTTTAATATTTGTGACAATATGTTGAAAAAGCATATGTCGATATATGCTTATAATATTTCAATTATTTTTACTTACTCTATCGAGTTTCGCCGAGGCATTTTTTTAAAAAACGGAAAATCCAAAAGATTATTATTTAAAGATTAAAGATAACACCAATATAGTTTATGAAAATAACGACCTAAACTTGAAATAGTTTTTGCTGCCACGTACAGATATTTCAATAAATTCTTCTTAGTTTTAAGTTTTTTAATGGGATGAAGAATGTTAAGTTCTTATACTTATTTAAAATTAAAGAGATTGTCGAATACATTTTCTATTGCCTAAATTCACACACTCTACTTCCCTTTTCATTAAAAAATGTGGATTATGTGATATGTTTTTAAAATCTAATAAAAATGCATATTAAATAATAATCTTCAAAAACGATGTTTCTTCACTTCTTAAAGCCTACACAAACTAAACCGTTCTACATAGAAATAAGAAATTATATTTAATCCCCATATCTACCTACATTCAAGATTAATATGAATTATATGTTACAAATTGAAAACTTAGCTGAATTGCATAAAATTATTCAATGAATATGCAATTAAAGAGCCCATCTAAAGTAATATTAAAAATAAATCATTTCTATATGTTATACCATTGAAATAAATATACTAAGTTTTTAAATCTACAGTTTTTGAAATACATCTTTTTATGTAAGTTGTAACCGCTCTGTTCAATCAACTCAATCAGGTTACCTTTCATCTTTCTGGAAACAGCATTTTTCGAATTCGTTGCCTTGATTACTCGAAGACAAATGATGCGTACACCAAACTAATTTTTTCTGCACTTTTTACTTGTATATGCCAACGAATTTTCCAGTCATCATAGCACTTGGAAAAATCCTCCGTCGTGATGACCATTAGATCCTTCTTCAATTCAGCTTTTATATCCTCAATTGATTCAAAATGGTGTCCTCGGAATGATAATGCGAATTTATGGAATAGTAAGAAGTTACGATATTAGTTGAAAATGTGGCGAAATGATCACGAATAACTAATGCGGTATGAAATTGCTACTGTATTTTTTTAATTCCTAAAAGTCTGCTGTTCTTCAATATTTCATTAAACATAAACAAATTTTAAACCTGAAAATGTTACAGTTGCTCATTTCGAAATTAAGAAAAAAAAACGAAATTTCTACTTATAAATAAATTATAATAAAAAAAGATATTCAACTCGACCATTTTCATTTAATTACAAAAAGTCTTACCGGTAAAAACCAACAAAAGCTTATATTTCACATTGAAACCGGATGAGACGTAAAATTTATAAGTATTGAAAAGTATTATTACTTAATATTTTATTTTTTTTATTTATTTTATAATATTATTGCATCACCATTTTGATTTTCTACTGCTTGCAGTCTTCTAGGCATCGATTCAACCACATTTTTGCACACATTCTTATTCATCTTGTTCCACTCCTCTTGTAAAGCATTCTTCAACTGGTCCTTCGATGTCCACACCTTGTTCTTCACCCTGCATCCTAAGTCATCATTGTCATCAATTACATTAAGGTACGTGCTTTGTGCAGGAGTTTTGATTACTTTTGGACAGTTATACAACAACCATAAACCATGATAAAACTGAAAGTTGTTTTCAATATCAAGTTTTTGCTCACTTTCTTTCAAATTTTATATATATATATATATATATATTTTACATACATATTTGTTAATTGTGCCATCTATATAATGCAAACTTCCAACTCCTGCAGCTGCATACATCCCCTGACCATTACTGAGCCATCACTATACCTCTTCAGTCACATCCGAATAAATTAAAATTGCTCTTGTTTCTAAACTTAAAAAATCGACTTTAGAATCATAGAAACTTTCTAATTGTAAATACTTACCGTTGACCAAAATGAGAAATCTTTATCCATAAATTTTCGTGTGAATTCAAGTCGATTATCCTAATTTTTTTTTTTTTCTGGGTTTCTGGGTTAACCTTAGTACCTTCTTCGAGCAATGCAGCTGATTTAGGTGCACAAGTAAAAGGAATTAGCTCTATTCCTCTAAAAACAAAAATTTCATTTCTTTGAAAAAAATAAAGTAAAAATAAAGTTTAAAATTTAAAATAAAAATACAAACAACTGTATAATTTAATTTCAATATATAGGGTTTTAATATTTTAAAATTACACCGGGTGTTGTCAACCAACTCAGCCGGCCAATGTCACAAAAAGTGCTATATATATATACTTAAAAACATATTCTTGAATTGAATTAGAATTATTAAATAAATTTTTATTATTATTTAATTTAATTACTTTTTTATTATATTATATCTATACTTTCCTTGCTGAATTTTCAATGTAGCAATGCTCCATATAGTCACATATGCATGAAACTCAAACTTTTGTATATAAATAATGTATATAAATAAATGTACTATATAGAAAACTATCTTTAAGTTGACTAAATAAATGAAAATAAGTGTACATAATTGTAATATACCAAAAGTTAATTTTGATCATTGCTCAACCATAATAAACAAACAACAAATTTGCGCTTATAATTTCAAGCTTTTGTACATGTTTTACTTTGAAAGGCTTGCAAAGAGCGAAAACTAAGTTCTTAATTTCAAGTCCTTCATAAAAAAAACAAAAATACATTTCTTTCCATAATTTCATCGTGCAGTTGACTTTATTTTAGTATTCTTGCACGAGAGATTGTCATACACCCAAGTCAATTCATTATTGAGGTAACAATATCAAAGATAGGTTAAGACGAATTATCAATTTTTTTTTATTTTTGTTTTGTTTTTATTATTGAGAAAGCTGAAGCTCAGTAAAAGCTTTAAAAATGGTTCTGTAAGCACTAGCAGTTAAATTTACAGGAATTTAATTAATGCCTTCAGAACTTTTATTTGACAAGGCTTCTCCATAAATTAGCTACAACGAACTAGTGGTCAAACATTTCTTCTTTACCTATTTGTTTCAATATTTTTGAGTTTGACTTTATATTTAATTGGTACAATTTTAATTATTATTTATTCGAGTTGAATGAGACTTAAAGGCAGAACATAACGTAAAAACGCATTAACAAGAGCAAATACTTGAAAATAATATATGCACAAAAGTTTTTGATACTTTTAGAAATAGTTTAATTCTATTAAATATAAATATGTAATGAATGCAATAATGTTTGCATTATTTACCCTATCAAGGTAACCCTTTTATCAGGCAATTCATTTGAATAAAATTAACTTATTTCATTTAAAATAAGCTGTTTTCATCTATTTACTTTTGCTTTGAAATTTATCTTTTTTATTGTATCTAAATTTACGTTATACAAATCGATCTCAAATGTGAATATAATAGACTAAGGTTTTATAACATAAGCTGAAGGCCCTGGCAGCCAGTGCTTTATATCTATAAATGGAACGATTATTTATAATTATTTCTCTTTTAAATAAATAAATAAAAATAAAATATATGTACATATGTATATATAAAAGTTTTATTCAAAATAAAAACATTTATTAAAACTACGTAAGCAAATGCAGCTCTGTCAATTAGAGTACAACAAAAAACAAAAAACAAAAAAAAAACATAAAATTTCATAACGAATAACGGAATTAAGGGCTACGATAAATTACGACGGGGTATTTGCATGCGGCCAAGTCTTTCTTCTAGTTTTTAGAGATTTGTGTGGTTGTTAGTCTTTTGTACAAAAAGTGAACAATTTGCAAAGCTTTCTAAATCGTGCACAATAAACTACAAAATTCAGACGGTAAATGAACATAGATTTATTAAAAAAATTTTAAAAGCAAAACATTATATTTAGTAAGAAGAAGCACGTAAATAAAAAAAAAAAGCTGTGGGTTAAAATCTATTTAGAGGGGCGTTATATTTACACATTTAATCATAATTTTTTACACATTTTTCTGTTGCGCAAAGTAAAAAATAGGCCAGTCGTGCGCAAAAAAAAAAAAAAGAAATAACTCAAGAACAATAACAACCCTATCACTGGAGCAGGTACATGCATAGATGATGGTTGGGATGGGTTCACACAAACGCCATTAAATCAAAAGAATGGCTGTGTCATAAAAATCCATGTCAAACAATAGAACAAACTGAAAACATAATTATGAGTACTTAACCAGAATAATAGCGAACGAAAGAGAAAAGAAGGCAAGGCGAAGAAGAAGCAGCGTAAAGAGCGCGGACGTGTGCGCCACTTTTGCGACATTGCACAAATATCGGCGTACTTGTGTTTGTTGTTGTTGGTTGCAATAAAGGTAATCGCTAGCGGTGACAGCGTTGTCAGCGGCAGCGGCCCTAACATCATTTGTATAGTATTAGAGAGCGATCTGCTTTGGTTAATATGCGAAATAATGAGAATTCTCTGCCTATACTCTATTTTCCATTATGGCAGGTCGTCAACGGTTGCAGGATCTGTCGAATAAATCTGGATTTCTCTCTCTTACTCTCCGCTAAGGCAATTGCAATTGTGAAAGAGCAAGAGAAACCACACCCTGAATGTGCGTTTCTGTGACAGCCGCCAGCCAATGAACGAACTCAAATACGAGAGGGATGATCAGCAACTATTAGCATGGAAATGGTAATGCACAAATAATGCGTAGATATCCATAAAGGATATTTCAACCCGGCTAGGACTATTAAAGCAGGAGTAAAATCGCAAGAAAGCATCACAACCATTCGACATCTCGTGCGCAATAGTCGTCAAGTTGTTTGAGTGCATTGAAGACGATCGCGTTAGTTTAGTGCTAAAATAATCCAAACAAAAAAAAAATAATTTTTTTAAAACACAAAGACATATATATATATGCTTAAGATAAACAATATTTGAAAACTGTTTTTGAAAGCAAGAAAAACTAAAGTGCAAAGACTTGACAAGTGATTAAATAATACTAAGTTTGTTCCAAGTGGTGCCAGTACAAGGCTAACAAAAAATGAGTTCCCCCGAGGTATCACCAGAAGCTGCGGACAAATACAACAGATTATCACCGTCTTCTTCAAGTAAGTATATACGCGCCCTTCCAGGATTAACTCGAACCAAGCAAGCACTTTTGCACGGCAATAGGCGGACTGGAACTGCAAAAGCGCAATATGCGCAACCCTCCGCTGCCGTGCGACTTTGTGTAGGCTGGCTTGGGAGGCGTTCCATGTTGCCACTTAACGCCATAACGCTTTGTGCGTACGGCGCAAAGACCGGCGCAATTGCAGCGCCTGCTGTTCATAAAGCAAACCCGCTATTTGGCAAAGCCTCAACTATTAATTATTTTTACCTTGTGTGCTCCCTTTAGGTCGCATACTCTATCATGTGCCGTGCAAAGTTTGTCGCGACCATAGTTCCGGTAAGCATTACGGCATCTATGCTTGCGATGGTTGTGCCGGATTTTTCAAACGTTCCATACGACGCTCACGCCAGTACGTTTGCAAGTCACAGAAGCAGGGCATTTGCGTGGTCGACAAAACCCATCGCAATCAATGTCGCGCCTGCCGCCTGCGCAAATGCTTCGAAGTTGGCATGAACAAGGATGCCGTACAACATGAACGCGGACCGCGAAACTCCACATTGCGTCGGCAAATTCAATTGTACAAAGAGGTCGTGATGGGCCCGGATCCGTTGCCATCCGATCTGATGATGAGTCATAGATTATTCAATGCTTTTCCAATGACACCTATGCTAATACCGACTGTGCCACGACCACCACCTCCTCCACCACCACCACAACATCATCCACATCATCCACATCCAGCTTTGGGCAATCCTTTTCAGCCACCAATAGTATTGGATCTATCTGTTTCACGTGTAGCAGCACACCATGCCATGCATCAGAGTCCATTTGGCTTCTTCGCGCAAAACTCGTTCATGAATCGGTCGTTGCCACCAACGCCGCCACTAATGGCCGCCGAACACTTAAAAGAGACTGCCGCCGAGCATCTCTTCAAGAATGTGAATTGGATTAAGAGTGTCGAAGCATTCCAGAATTTGCCGCTGCCTGATCAATTACAATTGTTGGAGGATTCATGGAAGGAATTTTTTGTACTAGCAATTGCCCAGCATCTCATGCCGATTAATTTTCAACAGTTACTCTTTCTCTACGAATCAGAGAATATGAATCGTGAAGTGGTTAATATGGTGAAGTGCGAAGTACACTTCTTTCAAGAGGTACTCAATAAGTTATGTCATCTGAATATCGATACCAATGAGTATGAGTGTTTACGTGCAATCACGCTCTTCCGTAAGGCAAACGGTGGCGAAGATGCTGCTAACAATTCATTTGGTACTGGCGAAAGTAGCAGCCCAAATTCAAGTACTTCCGGCGATTCGCGTGGCCCTGTCGATTCGGTCAAAATAGCCGGTTTGTGCGAAGAGGCACGTGGTACCTTGCAGGCCTACGTGATGCGCACAAAACCAACACAACCATTGCGTTTTCAAGCATTGGTCGGTATACTACCATTGCTCAGCAAAGTGTCGGGATTCACAATCGAGGAGTTATTCTTCCGAAAGACAATTGGCGAAGTCAATATCGTCCGGCTAATATCCGATATGTACAGTCAACGCAAGATTTAAAATCTCTGCGTTTTAGAGTGCTGAGAGAAGTAAGAAACGCAATCGTTAACGCAACCACAACAACACTGCCGCCATATGTCGCCAATGTTGCCAATAAGTTGCGCGCGGGATCGCTTAAATGGATTAACTGCCTTATCGGGCGCTCGTTTAGAAAAAGTGCTTTCGCACTCCAAGTGCCTTGCTATATAAAAAGTGCTGGAAACTGTGATATGCTCTCGTACTTTAGAGGCGAAAGCTCCTGTCTGCTTAATAACAATAATGTTAGTGAATTTAGTTGTAAACATCGGAAGATGACAATTAAGATAATGTCTTATCAGTTTAACGCATTTACAGTGCATTCGAATAATATTTATATACCTATGAGAGGAATTCGCTTCTCGCCCACACTTAAGGGCTTTCAAATTACCACTCACAAATGGTGAAGTTGAATTTAAATTTTTTATGTATTCAAACAAATTTAATCAACATTTTTATTTGCCTTTACGATTAGTTTTTAAAATGTATGTGTACAATATGTATTTTGTATTAAGTTCCTAATCGTGAAAATGTTTATTTATTTCTTTTTTGGTTTTTATTAGAGCAGAATTCGCCCAAATATTATTTGTTTATTTATTTATTATCATCTTAGTAATTTAATCAATTGTACTGTCATGCATTGCTTGGAAAAAACTTTGAACAAAATGCTAATATTATAAAGATTAAAATATATTTATTAAAATAATTGAGCATATAATAAAAAAATACATTGAGTTTAGCAACAAATTTAATTTTCTTTTTCATTTTGGTTTTCGGTGGACAATATGGTATTATTCTTTATTGAATTAATATTTCTTTAGTCCGGCTGTATACGTGCAAGCGCTGCCTACATCAATATATGTAGATGATGAAGATTCGTTCTGGTTCTAGAATTTTGGACTATGTGGAATTTTTATTTTTCGGTAATCGAATTTAATGTATAATGTGATTTTACGTCAATATATTCGGCACTCCATTCGATACCTCTTTTTCTTCGAATTCACCAAACAGTTGTATTAACTTTAGAGGAGTTTGCGTTTATTCACAATTTTATTCAAGACTTTTTCTAATTTTTGATATTAGTAGTTTAGTAGGAAACTTCGGAGACCCCACAAAAAATATATGTACTATATATCTAAATGTTCAACGTAACGAGCTGAGTCGATTAGTCATGCCCTTGTGTCTGTCCGTATACTATATTTGCAAAGGACTATCAGTTTTTAAGGTATTGATCTGAACTTTGTTCATAATTTTAAAGTTTTAAATTCTAAAATTTTTTTATTTGTTCTTCAAAATCTATGTCGTCCACCTCACAGTAATCCACCTTGGCCCTAATACACTTGAACCAACGTTTTTTCCAAACCATCAAACAGTTGTTAAAGTCCATTTCCGGATTAGCTTTCATCACACCTCGAGTGATTTTTGACCTGCTCTGACGTGGTTCTATCGGCTTCGGCTCATCTTTGCCAAAATATTCAGTCGAATAATCATCTATTTCCTGGTCATAAGCTTAGATACGGGTCACGAGTTTAGATTCATCGCTAGTAATAATACGTTTCATGACGTACTGCTAGTGAGAAAGTATTGTTTCACAGACGTTACCGTGACGATGTTTCTGCTCCTGCTTTCACTTTTCTTAGGTTCAAATAATCTTTCGAAATAGTTTTCACTGATCATCGCCGATATACTAACAATGCCAGTAAGATCTCTGACTGATAGGCTTCGTTTCGCAGACATCAACTCTTTTATTTTTTTCTGACGTGTTGATCATTAGTTAATATTGATAGCCTTTCTGGACGTGTTCTTTGAATAATTTTTACCATTCAAAAATCGTCGTTATCGTATCTCTGAAAAAAGTGATTGAGTAAAGTAGCTGCCATACAAACTGGATAATCGGCATCAGGTTGTTGTAAATTTTTTTTGTATCCGTGAAGTGTACTATTTTTAAAATTATACCAAGCTAGGTCACCCAAGATACCAAAACTATGACATATGAATCAATTGATCCTTCATGATAAGCTTGAGACCCAGCCGAGCTACTGTTGTGTAGTAGACCACCAGACAAGGATGCAAAACGAACGCAAAAACGTATTTTGTTAACATAAATTTCTATAACCACTCTGCTATTCAATAATAAATATTAGAACAGTTCGCATTAACTACATATTTCTACATATCTATATCTTGTTGAGCAAATATTTTAAAGAACACATTATAACAAGGAAAAGATATTTGTTATAGTACAACTAGAATTACGCGTTATTTTATAATTTAATCATTTGCCATTGTAATATTTGTTTTGTTTTTCAACTGAGTCGCAGTAAATAGTTAATATGTGATGAAAACCATAAGACCGTGTGAAACTTGCCCTATGGGAATCATTTATCCTTTTTTAATTACAGTAACAGCACTGGCATACATTTAGCATTTATGTAGCAGCTTGGCTGTGAAATGTTATACTTCTGACGTAAACTTTAATGTTGGCTCTTTGTTCGAAGTTCATTTTCGCACCGATAACACAAAATTACTGACACTTAAAATGCAATAACGTCACTTCCAATCAATGAAATGTCATGAAACTGGACTGGCGATAAAGATAGCAGATTCTAACGCACCAGTCGTCCTATAGATGGCGCCGCCAGGGGGCACTTGATTCAAAAAATCCTGCTTATGTTGGAAAGCACCTTGTATTCAGGACTCTCTACATCTGAAGGAGGATCGCTTAGTACCAAAGCACTTAAACTTCTTCTTGAATAATTTCAGATAGAGCTCGCAAAGAGGACTCTTCTTAATCTGCAGTGATTTTTTCTCTTACCGAATTTCTGATTAGTGCTTTAGTCATACAGGGCATACTTTTGCTAATTTCAATTAACATGAAGAAACATGGCAGATTAATGACTGTGACATATGCAGGCAAGCATTTATTACTTCAATTACTCTTCCTAATTCATTAAGTAAGGCTCATGTAATACCATATAAGTTTCCCAAAATATTAAATCCATGTGATTGCCTGTTTATTTTAATACAAATATTTATTAACGCTTTCGATATAGGATCCTGAGCCTACACAAACACGCAAATGATTAATAGAACTTTAGACTGTTTTTTGTTGTATTATATTCATCGTTGTAGTCTCAATTTTGGAACTTCATTCAAAAGTTTTTCGACAGTTTCCACGTCATATTCATAAATCCATGTCTCTATACAAATGAACGAATATTTATTCATCAGTATTGTCAAGCATCCCTACTTTAGGTCGTGCAAAACATTCAAATCCTTCAAGCCATTAATCAAAATCTGTTGAGTCGCTCATAAGATATGTTCTGATGATCTTCTATATCGCTGATACGGTAAGGCTGAGCTCAGGCTACTACCGGGGTCACAGCTGGCGGATAGTGGACGGCCTA